CAAACATTCGGTAGAATTTATAGAATATTGTAAATATATATATATATATATATATATATATATATATATATATATATTATTTAATGCATTTGTATAGCGCCTATTAAATGAAATCTCACAGGCACTCGGCACTCTCAAAATCCAGTAACAAAAAATTAAAGAAATGATTGTCAAAAGTCAACAGTTTATCCACAATGTACATTAAACGAATATACAATGTATACTTGCATAATATAAAAAAAGCGGGTAAATGAAAAAATAAATTAAGTCAAATTAACAAATCATAAATTTAAAGATTGCAAATAAATCATGACACTAGTTCCATATCATCGTTTCACATTGACATCGTTTCACATTGACATTGACATCGGCATTTCTGGTGCTGCCATTTTTGCTGTTGTTATTGAAAACCCAATTCCTAATCTGAACATAATCAGGCCAAGAACTTGATCTTTCAACTATTTCCGCATACTTCTCATCTACACACAACCGGAATGACGTAGAAGGGTGGGTTTCATCAAGTTTTATTTTGTCATCTCTGCTCTTGATTACAGGGTAACAAGACAAAACTTTAACATCAACTGACTCAAGGTGGTCAACAACATTGGATGCACAAGTCTTTGAAACATTACCAATGTGATAAAATTTTTCCGATATACAACTTTACTAGCTGATATTTTATATTGCGTAGGCCTATGAGGTTCAACAGTGGTCTTTGATATTGCATGACAACATGGACTTGCATTAGTTGATGGTAAAATGTTTCTTCTTTTCTTGCGTCTGACTGTTATAAAATTTCCATCATCATTGTTACCTTCTTCAGCAATGTCAGACAAATTTTTAGCGACTGATGTCTCAGCATCTGAATTTCCATCAGCGCATACATCACTGCACACGATACTGTTCACATTTTTTTGGACATCACTCAGTATATTGCCATGCTCTTCAAGAAATTCCAGGACGGCCGGACTATTTTGAATAACACTTTTTTGCAACCTCACCTGTTCAACTGACAATTTCTCGAATCTATTGTCACAATTAGTAACTTTCCACAAGTCATCAGCGAGAAAACAGGGAAATTTGTCTTCGACTTTAGTTTCAAAAATTAACTGACATATACTAAGAAATTCGTCCCACATTTTATTCTTGTCAACGTGTTCGAAAAACTCCGGCAGGCTGAGTGATAATGTTTTGGCTTCATGATGCAAAAACTTTGCACTTTTTTTTACGTCGTCACTTCAAAAAATTCGCAAAGAGAAGTTTTCATTTCCTTTTCATTTATCTAGTTTCGAACGTACCAAATATAACACAATAACGTATCAATTACGTATTTTTTATCGCTTTTAAACTCGACAATTATTTCTTCCGCCATTTTCCAAAGATCATATAATAAAATCATATAATATATATATATATATATAAGGTTAAGACTGTCAAAAATGCAATTATTGATGAAAATCACAACATGTTCGGCTATATAATATACTCCTATATATTTTTGGCAAAAACGCAGTAATCTTTATATATATATATATATATATATATATATATATCTGTTTTGGCAAATATATATATATATCTGTATACAGCTGTTTTGGCAAAGATGCCATCGTCGGAGCCTTGGGTAATTAAACAAAGTATATTAAATTGTAATTGTATAAAATCAATGCGTTAAATGTAATGTCAAATTGAAACGAAATGGAATAAAAGATAAACCTTAAAATTGAGAATTCAACGGTAATAAAATATATAGTATTTATATATAAATATATTTGTAACATTCAAAAATTCAACACTACTTTCAACATTGTTCAACTTTTTTATATTTCTTTTTAGTTTATAATGTCAGAAAAATTAGACATTTTATTGTTTTAAAAATTTTATTAAATAAATTTTCAGATAGCTATTTCGAGTTATAGATAACTCATCTTCGGTGCGTTATATATAATGTATGTAAGATATTTGATAAGATGAGAAAAAAACAAATAATTATTAATTTATATAAATTATTTAAAACAGAAAACGAACAAAATAAATTTAATAAAATGTTGTTTGACTGTACTTGAATGTTCATGGAGGGATTTTTGTTTTGTATGAAAATTGATTCAGCTATTTTCGGGTTTGTGATGTTGTTATTGCAATAAACTATTAGCATGTTATTTAACATTTGTCGTGTTAAAGTGATGTTATGCTGTTGTTTATAATGTTGTTTAATTGCTCCATCTTGTAGATGCATGGTCAAACGTCTTGACAATGTGGTAGTTGTCATTCCAATATATGAAGCATTGTTGCGATGCGAACATTCACCGACGGAGCATTTATGAAGCGCAGTCAAACAACATTCTACCTTCAAATAGACTACTGAATAAAAACAACAATCAATCATTATTATTACAACAACAATTACGACAACAGCAATAAAGATAACAATGATATAAACAATCTTGCCGTTAAAATTTAGAAAATCGCGTTTTATATTGTTTAATGTTATTAAATTTATTTTATTCGTTTTCTGTTTTAAATAATTTATATAAATTAATAATTATTTGTTCTTTCTTATCTTATCAAATATCTTACATACATTATATATAATGCGCTGAAGATGAGTTATCTATAACTCGAAATAGCCATCTGCAAATTTATTTAATAAAATTTTTAAAACAATAAAATGTCTAATTTTTCTGACATTAATAAACTAAAAAGAAATATAAAAATGTTGAACAATGTTGAAAGTAGTGTTGAATTTTAGAAATATATATATAATATATATATATATATTATATATTTATATATATGTTGGTAATAGACCATAATTTTTACAATATTCTATAAATTCTACCGAATGTTTGGCGTTAATATGTTTGTAGTTCGTTTTTTAAATTTTTCTCACTAAAGTTTTTTGGTGAACGTTTAGTTTATTAAAATTCAAAATAAACTTATTT